GAGGGACGGAGTTTAGGGATGGGGAAGGCGGCTAAGAGCAGCCACACGAAAAGAACGGCCCTGTTTTGCTGCAGAATGTGGCCCCGACCTGCTTGGGCACACACGAGCACTCGAGGGTCCATTTTTTGATCCGAGCTCCGAGGGACGGAGTTTAGGGATTGGGAAGGCGGCTAAGAGCAGCCACACGAAAAGAAAGGGGGGCACCTCGAGATTCGCAGCCGGCGTAGTCTAAAAGGCACATTTTATGAACAGAATTTATCACTTGAAAATCACCAGCAATTTTCCAGAATTCTGGAAGCAGAATGTGGAAAATCTAAAATTTAGAGCTGGTTGTCCTTTTCCGAAAAGGACAAGCGCGACTAAATGTAGAAAATCTAGATTTTAGAGCTGGTTGTCCTTTTCCGAAAAGGACAAGCGCGACTAAATGTAGAAAATCTAGATTTTAGAGCCGGCACACGAAAAGAACGGCCCTGTTTTGCTGCAGAATGTGGCCCCGACCTGCTTGGGCACACACGAGCACTCGAGGGTCCATTTTTTGATCCGAGCTCCGAGGGACGGAGTTTAGGGATGGGGAAGGCGGCTAAGAGCAGCCACACGAAAAGAAAGGGGGGCACCTCGAGATTCGCAGCCGGCGTAGTTTAAAAGGCACATTTTATGAACAGAATTTATCACTTGAAAATCACCAGCAATTTTCCAAATTTCCGGAGGCAAAAATGTAGAAAATCTGAATTTAAGAGCTGGCTGTCCTTTTCCGAAAAGGACAAGCACGACTAAATGTAGAAAATCTAGGATTTAGAGCTGATTCTCCTTTTCCGAAGAGGACAAGCGCGACTAAATGTAGAAAATCTAGATTTTAAAGCTGGTTGTCCTTTTCCGAAAAGGACAAGCGCGACTAAATGTAGAAAATCTAGATTTTAGAGCTGGTTGTCCTTTTCCGAAAAGGACAAGCGCGACTAAATGTAGAAAATCTAGATTTTAGAGCCGGCACACGAAAAGAACGGCCCTGTTTTGCTGCAGAATGTGACCCCGACCTGCTTGGGCACACACGAGCACTCGAGGGTCCATTTTTTGATCCGAGCTCCGAGGGACGGAGTTTAGGGAGGGGGAAGGCGGCGAAGAGCAGCCACACGAAAGGAAAGGGGGGCACCTCGAGATTCGCAGTCGGCGTAGTCTAAAAAGCACATTTTATGAACAGAATTTGTCACTTCAAAATCACCAGCAATTTTCCAGAATTCTGGAGACAGAATGTGGAAAATCTAAAATTTAGAGCTGGTTGTCCTTTTCCGAAGAGGACAAGCGCGACTAAATGAAGAAAATCTTGATTTTAGAGCTGGTTGTCCTTTACCGAAAAGGACAAGCACGACTTAAACTTAGAAAACCGGTTTAGGGATGAGGTAGGTGGCTTAGAGCAGCCGCATGAAAAGAACGGCCCTGTTTTGCTGCAGAATGTGGGCTTGACTGCCTTGGGCACACCTGGACACCGGATGGTTTAGAGCACGCACACGAAAAGAACGGCCTTGTTTTGCTGCAGAATGTGGCCCCGACCAGCTTGGGCACACACGAGCACTCGAGGGATCCGATGGTTAGAAACACCGGTTTAGGGTATTTATACCTCTTATATTACGGAATACTTGCAATCAGTTATGAGCTTACTAGTAAATGGTAGTAATTATGTCTATAATTACCATTTACCTCGTATAGACTAGAATGTCTTTCGTTTCCTTCCCGAACACGGTGTAGTACGCTCCTGTACGTAATAAGGCTTAAGCTGAGCATTCAGGCTTAAGCTTTTGAGTTTATAGAAATTGTATAGGGTTTGGGTCCGGAGTTTTGCCGGGTTTTGGGGGGTTTTGCCGGGTTTTGGGTTTTGCTTTTGCATTTTGGTTTCTGGGATTTGGGGGACGGTTTTGTTTTTGCTTCGCTTTTTGGCTGGCTTGACTGGCTGGGCTGGGCTGGGTTGGGTTGGGCTGGTAGGCTGGGTTCGGCTGGTAGCTGAACTGCGCTGGGCTGGCTGGGTGGGCTGGGCGGGGCTGTGCTGCCAAGCTTGATCTGGAGCTGCTCAAGCCTCCGCAGCTCTTGCGATGGACGAAAGTTTTGGGCGAAAGTTTTGAGCGAAAGTTTTGGGCGGGTTTCGTTTTTTGGCTTGAAGCTTTCATTTTGGGAGTGGCGGGCTGGGCTGGAATTGGGTTGGACACGTTTAATGAAAATTTGAAATTAATGCAAATGCAGTTCGAAACGAAAGTCACACAATTTCTATTTATCCTGCTCTTGAGGGTTTAGGGTTTAGGGTTTAGGGTTTAGGGTTTAGGGTTTAGGGTTTATAGAAATTGTTAAGGGTTTGGGTCCCAATAACTTTTTGGGGCACCGGCCAACCTTCCACCTCTTGCACAAGAACGGAAGGTTGGCCGGTGCCCCAGGAGTTTTCTCGACTGCTTCCATGTTTTTGGGTCCGTGGCAAGTCGTCTAGGGTTGGCCGACCGCCCAAGACAAGATCGACCATCCTGCCAAAAGGTGGGGCCGCTGGTGCGCTTGAACTCGTTTCGCAAGTTCCACCCTCGTTTACGAACCAAAGGTTGGCCGATGGCTGGGGGGGGGCTGGGGTGGGCTGGGCTGGGCTGGGCTGGCTGGCTGGGCTGCGCTGGGCTGGGCTGGGCTGGGCTGTGGGCTGGGCTGGGCTGGGGCTGGGGGCTGCTGGGCTGGGCTCTGGGCTGGGCTCTGGGCTGGGCTGGGCTGGGCGGCTGGGCTGGGCTTTGGGCTGTTTGGGCTGGGCTCTCGGGCTGGCCTCCTTAACTTCACTGGGTCGGTACGGTCGCCTGGGTTGGTTTATCGAAATTGCTTGCTCTGTTGATTGACCTCCAGCGTAAGGTTGGCCAACGTCTAGAAAGTGCTCGGTCGAAGTGGTCGACGCAGAAACCCCTGACAAGTTTAAGCGTTCAGTCTGAGTCGCCTGCCAATGCATGTGCTCGCTCTCCTGATGGGAATCGTTTCCTGCGCGAGGGCACCAGTTGTCAATCGAATGCCGAGCCTTCGTTACAGTCGCATCAACAAAGCAAGACCTTTTGCGTGAGTCGTGCCGAGTCAAGTGCATTGAACTAGAAGTGGAATGAACCGGCTGTTGTCTGCAAGATGAGCCAGGTCCGTGTTGGTGAAACGTTTAGAATCAAAGCCGGATTACTGCGTATGTGTCGCAAGGTTGCACGCCTAGCTGACAATTGACGGTGGGCTCAGGCTCGTCTTGGAAGCAATCCAACAAATAGATTCGGCTATGACAAGATATGAGAGCGACCCAGCGCTCATGGCAAGAGTTCCGGTCGCCGCGAATCTGTAGAATACTCTGTGCTCCAGCTGGCCAGACCTCCAGGTTTTGACAATGCTGCAACTTGAAGCCGCTCTTTTCCAGGGCGCAGTCCACGACCAAAGGAGACAGTATCCTGCCGCCCTGTCTCAAAAATGTGCACCAATCATGCTCATAACCACGTGCCTTCAACAGGTCTTGGGCTCCCTGCAGAGTGATGTCACATGCTTGTCTGCCCAGTGCATTGTTGACGGAGCACGTCGCAGTCGCCAATTGTTTCTGTGCGAGACCCAAGCTTTCATTCAAGCTTTGGAAGAATAGGAGGCTGCCGGTTTCAGTCAAGAATTTCCACTGCGGGTGGTTCTGCCGTGAAATCTGAACTCGAAAGCCAGCTTGTAGAATGTTCTCCTCAATTGCCCACTTCGCGGCTTTGTAGCTCAGAAAAGGCTTCTCCGTCCTCACCATCAGCGCAGAATACCTTCGCTTCAGTCTCCTCCGAGCTAGCCACCATCTTCGGCGGTAGACCCTCAGCATTGCCTTCTTCCCTTGCCAAAATGAACCTCGTGCATCCTTCTTTGTCGCAGCAGCAATGCGCTGTGCAGCTTTGCGGCATCCCACATAAGCAGAGAGAAGACGCCAGCTTCCGATACCACTGCGTGGGCTTGATGCAGCTTTTACATATTGGCGGCTGCTACTGCTCATGGATGGGTTCGCCCGCAGGATTGGCCGACCCAGCAAGAAATGCTTCAGGCGGGGTGACTTCTTGTGCAGCCAGCTCCATGATGGCTTGAACTTCGGAGGCTGTCCAGCCTTTGCGCGCAAGCCATACTGTTCGCTGGTAGATAGCACACACAGCGACCCCATTCCAAACGCCGCTTCGTATGTCGGCGATCCGTTTCGGCGCCACTGCTTGAGCTGTCTGACCAAATTGCCTTTTGCTATGCGGGAATCCAGAGCGAGTTGTAGGTTTTCTAGACTGCACAATGCGCAGCTCTTTCTGCTGGACTGAGCAGGTCCACCTCTACCATCTTGCGAGAAGATGCATGGTCTACTTCCGATTCCAGATGGATCCTCGAAGCCACGGCAGTAGCGAGGCATGGCAAGCCAAGGGTTCTGGACGGGTCTACTGTTGCATATTGCTCAGTAAAATTGCTTTCGCAAAGTAAGCCAGACGGCAAAGGACACTGCGCCGAAGTATGGGCCAGGTCTGGCTTCCTCTAATTACAGCATGCGTCGAACCGCTTCTGCACGCAAGCTCTCCGGCCTCGTCCCCGTCTCCGTCTCTCTTCGGGTTGAGGATGCGCACCTGGGACCCCAGATTGGTTGAGGATAAGCGAGTCACTTGGGCATTTCGGTCGTCCTCGCCTTCACCCCCTTCTACTGCCGCGCTTTCTGGCTTCGAGCACCTGGCAACAAAGATGCACGCTGTCTTCTTCAGCTTGAGCTTCCACACCTCGGAAACCCAAATTGGTTGAGGATAAGCCCTCCCGGCCTCGTCCTTGCCTCCGTCTTCTTCAGCTTGAGCTTCCACACCTCGGAATCCCATATTGGTTGAGGATAAGCCCTCCCGGCCTCGTCCTTGCCTCTGTCTTCTTCGGCTTGAGCTTCCACACCTCGGAAACCCATATTGGTTGAGGATAAGCCCCTCGAAACCTATATTGGCTGAGGATAAGCTTTCCCGGCCTCGTCCTTGCCTCCGTCTTCTTCAGCTTGAGCTTCCACACCTCGGAAACCCATATTGGTTGAGGATAAGCCCTCCCGGCTCGCCCTTGCCTCCGTCTTCTTCAGCTCGAGCTTCCACACCTCGGAAACCCATATTGGTTGAGGATAAGCCCCCCCCCTCGTCCTTGCCTCCGTCCTTCTTCAGCTCGAGCTTCCACACCTCGGAAACCCATATTGGTTTAGGATAAGCCCTCCTCCCTTCCTCGTCGTGGCGGCCTGCACCTCTTCGCATGGCACCGGATAAGCGTGGCGGCTGTCCCCCCTGGCCCCTATTCTGGTTGAGGATAAGCGTGGCGGCTGCGCCTCTTCCCCCTGCCCCCATTCTGGTTGAGGATAAGCGTGGCGGCTGCACCTCTTCGCCTGGCGCCGGATAAGCATGGCGGCTGTACCCCCTGGCCCCTATTCTGGATAAGCGTGGCGGCTGCGCCTCTTCCCCCTGGCCCCCATTCTGGTTGAGGATAAGCGTGGCGGCTGCACCTCTTTGCCTGGCACCGGATAAGCGTGGCGGCTGTACCCCCTGGCCCCTCTTCTGGTTGAGGATAAGCGTGGCGGCTGCGCCTCTTCCTCCTGGCTTCCGTTCTGGTTGAGGATAAGCGTAGCGGCTGCACTTCTTCGCCTGGCACCGGATAAGTGTGGCGGCTGTACTCCTGGCCCCTATTTTGGTTGAGGATAAGCGTGGCAGCTACGCCTCTTCCCCCTGGCCCCCATTCTGGTTGAGGATAGCGTGGCGGCTGCACCGGTTGAGGATAAGCGTGGCGGCTGTACCCCCTGGCCCCTATTCTGGTTGAGGATAAGCGTGGCGGCTGCGCCTCGTTCCCCTGGCCCCCATTCTGGTTGAGGATAAGCGTGGCGGCTGCACTTCTTCTCCTGGCACCGAATAAGCGTGGCGGCTGTGCCCCCTGGCCCCTATTCTGGCTGAGGAATCTCATTCTGGTTGAGGATAAGCGTGGCGGCTGCACCTCTTCGCCTGGCACCGGATAAGCGTGGCGGCTGTACCCCCTGGAACCTATTATGGTTGAGGATAAGCGTGGCGGCTGCGCCTCTTCCCCTTGGCCCCCATTCTGGTTGAGGATAAGCGTGGCGGCTGCACCTCTTCGCCTGGCACCGGATAAGCGTGGCGGCTGTACCCCCTGGCCCCTATTCTGGTTGAGGATAAGCGTGGCGGCTGCGCCTTTTCCCCCTGTCCCCCATTCTGGTTGAGGATAAGCGTGGCGGCTGCACCTCTTCGCCTGGCACCGGATAAGCGTGGCGGCTGTACCCCCTGGCCCCTATTCTGGTTGAGGATAAGCGTGGCGGCTGCGCCTCGTCCCCCTGGCCCCCATTCTGGTTGAGGATAAGCCTGGCGGCTGCACCTTTCCGCCTGGCAACGGATAAGCGTGGCGGCTGTACCCCCTATTCTGGTTGCGGATAAGCGTGGCGGCTGCGCCTCTTCCCCCTGGCCCCCATTCTGGTTGAGGATAAGCGTGGCGGCTGCACCTCTTCGCCTGGCACCGAATAAGCGTGGCGGCTGTACCCCCTGGGCCCCTATTCTGGTTGAGGATAAGCGTGGCGGCTGCGCCTCTTCCCCCTGGCCCCCATTCTG